ATAAGTGCAAATCATTAGTTAGGGTATATATTCCTTCTTCTGTTATTGCAATTGAAGAAGGTGCTTTTTGTGAATGTCCCGAGTTGACCATTGTAACAAATCATTCTTCAATAACAGAAATTGCAGAAAATACTTTCAAATATTGTTATTCACTTAAAGAAACAACAATTCCTTCTTCAGTTTTGCTAATTAAAGAAAGTGCTTTCGAAAATTGTAATTCACTTAAACAAATATCAATTCCATCTTCTGTTATTGAGATTCAAAAATCTGCATTTTCAAATTGTTTTAATTTGACTCATGTAGATATTCCTTCTTCAGTACAAAAAATTGAAGATAATGTATTCTTCAATTGTAAATCATTAAAGAAAATAGTGATTCCTTCTTTAGTAACTTCTATTGGTAATCAATCTTTCTGTATGTGTTCATCACTTGTATCTGTTTTATTTGAAAATAATTCATCTTCGTTTAAAACAATTGGTGATTGTGCTTTTGAAAGTTGCCTTTCATTAAAAGAAATACCAATTCCTTCTTCTTTAACTTCAATTGGAGATTCAGCTTTCTATAACTGTACATTGCTATCAGTATTTCCAATTCCGTCATCTGTAACATCAATTGGTAAAAATGCTTTCAAACGTTGTTTAAATTTGAATAAAATACCAATTCCATCTATTAGGGTAATTCGGCGACAAACTTTTGTAGATTGCTCATCATTGAAAGAAATTTCAATTCCTTCAACTGTGAGATTTATTGACGAAAACGCATTCCAAGGTTGTTCATTAGTTACAAAGTTATCTATTCCTTCATCTGTGGTACAAATAAAGCCTTATGCATTTAGTAAAATGATTTTTTTGACTGATGTTGAAATCCATGCTTCATTACAATGCATTGAAGATCATTTATTTTGGAAATGCGAAACGCTTAAAAGGGTATCAATTCCTTCTTCTGTGACAATTATTCGTCAATGTGCTTTTAAAGAATGTTTTTCACTTGAAGAAATTAAAATTCCTTCATCAGTTGCTGCAATTGGTCCATACTCATTTAGTAAATGCGTTTCATTGAAAAAAATTGAAATTGCTCCATCATTGAAATTAATTGGAGTATTTGCATTCAATAAATGCATGTCACTTAAGCAAATATCAGTTCCTTCGTCATTGAAAATATCAAATATTGGTCTTTCACCAGATGCCAAGGTGACTAGAATTTAATAAACTTTTTCTTTTACTTTTATCTTTATATATATATATATATATATATATATATATATAAAAGTATGGTTTAACTATTTATATGGATTTACAATTATTCACTTCTTTATCGATTTCAAAGTTTATCAATTTTTCACTCAGATTATTTAGTTATTTCTGTTTAAATAAATTATCATTGTTTTGATCTAACATTCTTATTTTCAGTAGTTTCCTCCAAGAAAAATCTTAGCAATATTCCTCCATCCATTGAAACAACAAATAAATTCTGACTTTTCAATTCATTTGAGAGAGCAACTCAAAATATATTTTATTTTCAAAATTTTCGCTTAATCTGTTTTTCATAAAATATTTTTCTCACAAATTTTACTGACAAAATTTATTATTGAATCATTTCAAAATGGAGAAAGTTCCACTAATAAACCTAAATGATTACAAGTATATTACAAAACTTGGATCAGGAAGTTTTGGGGATGTTCATCTGATTGAAAAAATACAAACTTCCGTTAAGTATGCGGCTGAAGAAACAAAAAATATTGGAAGTGATTTTCTTATTAGGCACAGCACTTGGAATGAAATATCTTCATTCACTTGGAATTATACATCGTGATTTAAAACCAGACAATATTTTGCTTGATGACGATTTTTATCCATATATTTGTGATTTTGGATGTTCATATAATTCAGACAAAGAGTTGTCAAAAATTTTAATGGAAGATCTGCAAGGCACCCCAATTTATATGGCACCTGAAATATTCTTAGAATAGCCATATACATATAAAGTTGATGTTTATGCATTTTCCTTGATTATGTATGAATTGATAACTGAAACCAGTCCATTTAAAGAATATAAAGGCCAATACAAGTTATTTAAAGATACAAAAAACGGTGTCAAAAATAATCATGATTGTATTGAAATAAAAAGGTTGCAACAAATTATTACCAATCAAATTGAAAAATAATTGTGTTAACGTATAGAAACTATTCTGAGTTGCATCTTGAATGATACTCTTTATTGAATCTTTGTAATTTTCTAGATTGAATCCTTTATCAATTATTTCAACCAATGAATGTGCATTTCCATTGATTACTGATTGTTCAACCAAAGCGAATAAATCTTCATTTGGTTCTTTAACAGTGAATTTTGTTTCAAAATCCAATCAAAAAGATCATTTCGATACTTCATGATTGCTGGAATTATTTTATCATTATTTGTTGAAAGTAGTTGATTGCTTTGATTACCAGCCCAAACCTTTCTTGGCTTATTATCTTCGTCATCTTGTTCATTTAAGTCAGCTATTTTAATGATTTCAATATTACCTCCATAAACAGCAAGACTAAAAGTAGTCTTATCAATCTTTTCATGATTTAATAAAAAGTATTTAAAGCACCGTAATGATCCATAAGCAGTTGCATAATTTATGTATCTTGTTGATCCATTTGGTACATAATTTTCAAAGATATATAAAGGAATGAATTTTTTTGAAGTGCCATTTTCTCCACTGCTTGAAATGATCTGCTGTACCATATCGACATCATCTCGACGAATTGCTTTAGTTAGTTCATCATCAGGTTCACCACTATCACGCATCTTTTTATACATGTCAATTTTATCTGATTGATATGATTTAATAAAGGCATTGGCATTGGCTGCTACCCTAGCACCACTAAATGAATTAGAAGGGTAACCAATACCTCGGATATATGCACTTGATTTTGATTGTTTAATTTCATCAATTTCAGAGAAGAACCAGCATTTTAAATTATCATTTTTTTTTCGTAAATTTCTTAATTCTTTTTTTAAATCATCTGCTGAAATTATTTCTTTTTTGTATAAAAAATAAATGAAACCATAAGTTGCCATTGAACAATTATAATTATTGTTTTTAGAGATAACTGGAGTTGAATTGGGTGTTGGATGTCCATAGGGCTGCTGTTGTTGAATTCCTGTTGTTCCTGTTGTATGAGGCTGTTCAAATGCTGTAATCATTAATTGCTTGGTGATTGTTGGAATCAAGATCTTCAATTGATTATCTTCATTTGCTTCTTGATCAAGTTGAAGCAATAAGTCTACAATATAAGGATGATAAAGAAAATCTGTTTTGGCAACTTGAATAATGAATGCTGCTAGCTCTTTAACGTTGTCTTCTGTTTTTGGCCATTTTGATTCAAGAATTGAAAATTTAACTGTTTTAACTGTTTTTTCTTTAATGTTATATAATAAATCAAAAAGTGCATCAATTGAATCAATAAGAGCTTGTTGTTCGTCTATCGTTTTTGAAACTTTTTCTGTATTTGATGTAATTTTCAACATCATTTAAAATAACGGTTATTTGTAAAACTTCAGCTATTTCTTTGATTGATTCTATGTTGTTTCTGGTAAGAATAACGTTTTTAAAATTGAATATATCGCATATTGCTTGGAATTCATTAAAATCATCGTCAAAATTATAAATGTACTTATTTGATGTTGGATTCTTGGCCAAATGTTCTCTGATAATACCAGAAGAGTAAACGCCAAAAATATTACATTCGTATTCTTTTTTATTAGTAACTATTATGAATGACCTAGGCGCTGTTCTTTGAAGATATATACTTAAATCTAAATAATTAATTACTACTCCAAACTCATTTTGCCTTTGGTTATATGGTCCACCCCAACCTCCTTCATGCCTTTTTAAGCTTTCTGGTTTCATAAAATTAGGGCATTCAATTATATTTAATAATTTGGTTATTTTTTGGGAAATTGGAAGCTCATCTTCATCAAAAATAACAAATTCGCCTTGATAAATTTGCTCAAATTTACCAAGAACATTGTCTTTATCATCGATATCAAGATGATATTCCATATTTTCTGGGTTTTTAACGAGAAAATCGGCTATAATTGAGCTTTTATCGCCTAAAAAAAGTGTATTAAACTTGCCTGATCCAGTATTAGTAGTTATCGTAAAAGTTCGAGGAATAAAAAATATTATAATTATACGAGCTAGATAATAAGAAAATGGACTGAGATTTTGACGTATTACTGTAGGTTTTACCAAAAGACCGGTTATTACCCTGTGAATATTCATGCTGGCCAGCATATGATGGTGATGGACGTGCTAAAGAAAAAATTCTTTTGTATCCATCTTTTAATGGAGTTTTGGAAAAGAGAATATGACCTTTTGGAGGACGTCTAGAAGACATTAGTTTACCTCCTTACCATTTTTTGACCTTATTTTTTAACCTTTTTTTTACCTGCTGCTATTTTTACATTCAAATAAGGTGTTATAAAAAACGAAAGGTAGGAAAACGAAATTGAATGAATTTAAAATTATCTAATATTTTCCATTTATATCATTAAAATAAGTACATTTACAAATAATAATTATTTTTTTAATATTTATGTTAAATATTGTTACTAATTTTTTGTTTGATTTTGGTCAACGCATCAATTGCCATATCCAATCAGCAAAAAAGAGATATATCCTGAATTAAATATGAGTTTCAATTACTTTGTATATTGCATGCAATATTTAAGCAATCATTGCATGCAATAAGTATAAAAGTAAAAGCTTAAAAAAAAAAACTTTTTCATAATGAAATTTGAATTTACATTGAATTGAGTTTTTTCAACTTTGACCTTAACCGTCTCAAAGTTGACAAGTAATGTATGGAAAGAAACATGAAAAATTTTACAATTCTTTTGCTTGTTTCATATATTTTTATTGTTTGAAATTGTCATTTTCATGATTGAATTCAAGTTATTGCAAACCGTCTTACTATTCAAACAGGAAAAAAAAAAAAAAAATCAAAAAATGCGAAACCTGGGAATCGAACCCAGTTTTTGGACACGGAGGGACCATATGCTACCAATACAACAGTCTCGCTTCTTACATATTTTTAATAAAATATTTGATCATTATTTAAATATTTAATAACTTTGATTTCATTAAAATATTTGATCTTTATTTAAAAACTACCATAACTTTTCTAAGAGACATTATCTAGAAAAAATAAATTTATATTTCCATTTTTTTCCATATATATATATAATTCATATTTTTTTTTTGAAAATTATAAAATGTTTGTTATAATTGTCAGTAATATAAATTTTAAACAGTTTAGAGGCTTAAAATACATTTTCTTGTAATAGTTAAGTGCTCTCACTTGCATATTTTTTGCCAATATCATTTTAAAACATTAATTATTTTGAGAAACAATAGTTTAGTTGATTTAAACATAAAACAATGCTTTTAAAGTTGTTAACCACTAAATGCAAATTGCATTATGCAAAGGAATAAAAAATTTTTATATAATTTTTGTAAGCCTAATGTTAAAATATTAAGAAGTTTATTAAAACCGAGAATAAATAGCAAAATTTTTCATGTATTTTAACCATTGTTTAATAAAATGGGAAAGTGTGTAATATTACTCCATAAAATATAATTATTATCTTTTTTTATTGATATTTTCAATTTTAAAAAAAAAATATGATTTATCTTGAAAATTAACTTTTAAAAAATATTATTATTTTATATATATATCAAATAGTTAAAATTATATTTATTATTATGAAATAAGCATAAAATATAGAAATTGCGCTTAGTTAGATGAACTTTTTTAAGACTATAAAAAAAAAGTTTTTTATCTTAATAAATACCTTGAACTCTAATTTTTCTGATATTAAATCAATGATATTTATATCTGATAAAAAATATTTATTAATCAAGAGATGTTTATTGAAATTAATTAAATATCAACCTGATTAATAAAGGATTAAATAGAAGATAATTAGAATTATTTTTCGTTAAATATAAAATAATTAATTAAACATTCTTTATAATATCCATATTACAATTTTGAAGTCAAGATATAATCATTTTATTTGTTTTTTCGGAAACGATGACTCTTTCAGAATTTTTTTTCTAAGAATATTTGGTATCATTTGAAAATAACTTAAATTTATAAATATTACTAATACTTTTCAAATAATATATATTATAATATATAAAATAATATGGAAAAATAGTTTTAAATTTTTATTACAGTTTTATTAATAGAGATATACTCAAAATGATTAATATTTGAAAAAAAGAGAGAATTTTTTTTGAAACATTTTCAAAGATTGAAATTCAAAAGTGAAAATAATTAAATTCAAAAAGTTTACAAATCTATAATAGCTTATGTTTTCTTTTTTTCAGACAAATCCAGAGCAAACGCAGCGAATCTGCGATGCTGTCATCAAAACATATGCCACTCCGATCCAAAGTCCTAAAAATTTTTACCAAAACAATCCCAAATTAAAATCATTTTCAGAATTATTAGAACCTTCGGCTTATAAGCAAAAGCAACTTCAAGAAATCGTCAAAGATAAATATTCTCGACCCTTTGAACTCGAGTTAATCCTCGGAACCGAGCTAGATTTAAATCAATCCATCCCCGATAATTGGTTCGATATTTTTACGATTTATCAATCGGAACCGAACAATGATTCTTCCGGAAAAGAATTTATCTTTCAATTTGCGCTCAGGATCCTTATTAAAGCTAATTATCAACTTAAATACTTTGTAAATATTTTTAATTCAAATCCTACATTAAATAGCGATCCAGTTCTCACGTACATTCCGAAACTTCTCACCTTTTTTATCGAGAATAGCGACTTCATGAACCAAACTTTCTTCGACGTTCTTTCTTCTCTTTACGGACATGTTAATTATCGATGGCGATCGATTTTTTACAACAATTCTTATGTTTTACGAAAATTTGCAGCGTCAATTTTTCTATCAGCCTCAAGAATAGTTCCATATGAATCGCACAACGTAACCAACTTTTCCTTCTCATTTATAAAAGACGTTTTCTCTCAATCCTATCGTTACTTCACCGATTTCTGCCTTCGACCGCAACTTTTGGTCGAATTTCAAAGGTCCCTGATTTACATTGTTGAGAAGAGCTCGAAAGAACAAAAGGCAATCATATGTCAAATGATTTGCAACCTTCTTCAAGAGGCCCCGACTTTTCTGACAGACTTTTCAAATGCTTTATTGAACCTTAAAAATTGTGTGCATATATATAAAGAGTGTCTAAACGGTCTCCAATCTGACAACATTATCTCAACTTTTCAGATAGTCCTTGAATATGTCGTTTGGGTCATCATGAAGTTCCCTGAAAGTTCAGTCTTGGTAAACAATTCTGATTTTAGGTTTCCCAAAGTGTCGTTCTCTGCAATTGACACTTCTTCTTATATGAAAAAAACCGTCGTTCTCCCTCAAAAAGTGAAATCTGCACTGAGTCCGAAATTTGACTGCGTGCCAACAATCTTGTCAGAGATAATCGAAACTAACGAAGAGACAAAAGCAGCAATTTTGAAGGACATTCGTGACTACCTCGTTAAATGCCAGCCAACTATTTCATGGGACCGTTTTTCCGATCAAATCTTCAGAGCAAGAAGGGATGATGAAGATGATAATGATGGCGATTTGAATGCTGAAGTTGACACGAGTAGTGATTCTGAGAGTACAAGCGAAGAACAAGTTGACGATGAGAATCTGGAAGGAGTTTCTTCAGGCAACAACGAAAAGTCAAAGGAAGAAAGAGTTAGACACAGGCACAAGCATATTCACAGGTCGCATTCCAAAGACAAATCCAAGTCCAAAGACAAAGACAAAGACAGGGGCAAAGACAAGCACAAAGAGAAAGAAAAGCAAAGAGAAAAAGAAAAAGAAAAAGAGAGAGAAAAGCAAAGAGAAATTGAAACTGAAAAACCAAAAGAAGTTACTCGTGATAGACGAAATTCTGTTGTTTCAAAAAGTAATAATGACGATTTTGATGAAAGTGACTATTGGTCACCAGTCAAAGATATCCAATCCAGTGATGATTCAGAGACACCTAGTGAGTACATCCATTTCAGAGCACTTTTGTGCTTCTTTATTGAAGTCACAAAGAAACTCAACGATAGAACAATTTTCAGTTTTTATTTCAAAGATTTTGAAGCATTCATGAAGGACTGGGCCCCATTATTTTTGACATATATCTATCCAACGCACAGCTTCTTAATTGGACACTTGTTCTTCAAGTGCTACAAGAGCATCATCTCTGAACGCAAGGCTCTTTTGAATGAAATTTCGTATTTGATTGACAGCAGAATCCAGCAAAATCACGAAGTTTCATTACTTGTTTTTCTTCCCTTGATCAATTCATTGTTTCTAGATTTGAGTGATTTTGGATCGTCCTTTGTATCGTCACAACTTCTTAAATCATTGATTCGAGAATCAAAGAAAAATAACCGAGTTTTCTTACTTTTAAGTTCCATCATTTATAAGTATCCAATTGAATGCTTTACATCATCACCGTTGACCAATTTTATAACTGATTCATTTGATGATCCTGCCTTTCATAAGACCTTTGTCAGATGCTTAATTAATGGTCTTAAATATTGTGGACAAAAGAAAGATTCAACTGAAATTAGACTCCTTTTGAACCATTTAACAGCATTGCTTCCAACTCTTCTCGCAAAGAAATATCAGAAATCTTATGATTTGATTGATATCATGGCAAAAACAATTCCATCATTCGACAGTGACAACCTTGATTTGTTCTTTAAAGTGAGAATTTTGGATTTGATTGCTGACAGTTGTCGAAACGATCCTTCTGAAAATATGTTTCGTTCTGCTTTTCAATTCTTCATTGCATTGAGTCGTACAAGTAATCAAAACTTACTTAGAATGTCGAATCCTAAATCATCTATTTTTTCAACTTTAATAGAGATTTTTGAAAAGAATCATTTTGACTTTGATATAGTTGATATTTTATTTGACTTTGCGATCATTCCTTATCAAATCATGTCTCTTGAGTATTTCAAGAATAAAGACTCAGTAATCAATCAAACATTCCTCAATCCAATGGCAATAACATTGATCTTCAAATGGATTGAAGGACGTGATAATGAATCTGAAGTTGTTCATCAAATTTACTTGATGTCGAACATGCATGTTGTCAATGCCTTTCAGCTTCAAAAAGCAAACATTCCAACTTTAATATTGGCAAGAATATCGAAGATTAATAATGAAACTGAATTAGTCAGTCGTTATTTCGATCTTCTTTATAATATTTGGAGACAAGGATGTCCAATCTCTGATGCTTATTCAGCAATAAGCACAATGAAAGTTATTCGATTCCCTCATTTAATAATTGACACTTTTTCTCGTCTTTTACGTCAAGAAAAGAAAGAACATAGCATTTTTTATTGGATGAATGGAATTAATTCTGGCTTCTCTGGAACTAAAATTACATTTGATAAGTCAATTGATACCTTATTTATATCATTTCAATGTTTCATTGATGAAATATCTAATCAAGATAAAACATTAGTTTTCATTCAAAATGATAAAGGTGATACAATTGAGTTTGGTATCAATCAAAACAACATTTATTTCGAATACAATGGAGGAAATAAAGTTAACTTTAAGTCTACTATTTTAGTGAACATTTGGCATCATATTACATTCATTGTTAATTCGAAGAAAATTAGAATGATTATCTATGAAAAAGCGCAAGAACAAATAAAAGTTAAAACAATAAGAAAGAAAAGTTTAAGATTTTCTAATAAAGACAAAAAACAGCAACAAGAAGAAACGCCTATTCCAGAGAACATGTATGACAATGAAGTATTCACATGTCCTTCATTCTTCAATCAAAGTATCAATTTATTCATTGGAAGAAGGAATGATTCAAACAAATTCTTCAGTGGTTTAATTGGTACAATTTTTGTCTTTAATGATTTAATATCATATAATTTGTATTCACAACTAAGTAAGCTTGTCTTGTTTAATTACACCATTCCTCATTTACTAGCAATTTATGTACCACGAATTGTTGAAGACAGCGATAT